CCCTTAAACCTAAAAGAAACCAACCTGAAGACGTAAGCAACCCCAAACCCTCAAACGCCAAACCCTGAAACAAAAAAAACTAGACCCCAAGGAAAAAAAACAAGCCCAAACCCTCAAACACAAGAATGTTGTGGGCGACAACCCCCCCCAGCGTGTAGTAGTTCCAGTAGTACGAATTATGATGGCCAGGAGTGCGACGCACTGGCGGCAGCCGTGGCGGCGGTGGTGGTGTTGGCTGTGGTGGCAGTGGCTGCAGTGGTAAAAGTACTAGATGGAGGCACCCTACCCCTAACCAAGTTCACAGCGTTGAAAACCGGACCAAAGCACAGGTTGGATGCAGGGGTGCGAGGGGGTGTAACTTCACACGTTGTTCAAGAGCAGTCACAACAACAATCTGACAGGTGTGTGTGTGTGTGTACAAATGTTTCTGTCTTTGTCTGGCGGACAGATGTAGTGGCTTCTTGCTTGCGTCAGCGGGTGATGCGCTTGCACCTTCCGTGATGCGCTTTCTTTGCAGTTCATACAGCTGCCGTTAAGCTTTCAGAAGATGGACTGCCCTTTCAGAGCAAATCCTCACCCACAAGTCTAACCCCACTTCACCTAGACAAACTCCAAGGCATGCCGGTGTGTTCTCCGTCTCTACAATAGGCAGCAAAGGCATCATAGCAACCCTCCACGTTTCGGCCTCACTTTCAGGGAGTTGTACTTGGTATGCGCGGGGCATCACCACGGGCAGGAAATGGAGCAGCAGCAGCAGCAGCAGCAGCAGCAGCAAGAAGACGACGTGCCACCAAGGAAGCTTGGCATGCTGGTGAGCTTAGCTTTTGTCAACGGCAGCAGATGTCTTTTGCAGAAGCTCGCAGGGGACCCCAGATGGACGAGGCTGTACAGGTCAGCGAAGGCTTCAGAACGCTAGCGGCTAGCGGCTTCCAGAGATCATCCGGGAACTCGCCTGCAACATGCAGTCGTCTCGTGCGAAACAGCATGGCAAAGAAGAACGACCCTCACCTCTACAGAGAAGGGCACACTGCTGGCCCCGTCAAAGTCTGCCCGCCAAGCCTTGCCATAAGTGCATTGAAGATTCAGCTAACTGTGGAGTGGCCAGCACATGTTTGAGAGTCGCCTTCTCAGAGAGCATGAAGATCTTGAAGGCGCGCAGAAGAGGTCCGAAGACTGAAGCACGAAGGACATGTGGATCTACAATGGTCTGCCAATCCAACGCGATTATGTTGCTTTGCAGGCTCCTTCCAAGTGCCAGTCGGCCAACTGGTCTGGCACCACCACGACCAAAGCCACGACCTCTTTTTACTGACTGCCGGGTGTCGTCGCTCACGTCATCAGATGTCCGGGGCCCCTCACTGACGTGCTGAATGCACGCGAGGACTGCGAATCTGCATTCTCAGCATCTTCCCCTTCACCTCTGCAGGCATGCTCAGAATGCTCCCTACTTCGCGCAAAGCCTTGGCAAGTCGGCTGGCCTTGGGCCTCCTGCATGCTTGAGCGGCTGGGCACGCAGACCTGTGACTGTGATACAGCAAACAACAAAAGTAAAGCCAGGGCTGGGAGGGCTGGGAGGGCTGGGGGAAACCTGAAAAGCTGCAAGCCTCAGCCTCAAAAGCATGCTGCACGCGTGCAGCAACAGCCAGGTTAGTCACGAAGGACAAGAAGCCGTCTAGAGCCATGGCCTCATGGATGACAGAAGTAGAGACAAGAAACAATCATGATTTTGGTGGTTTCACCAGATTTCGATTTCTGGCAGTCACTTAGCTCCGCGCCCAGTCGTGGACCTCGGACTCTTCTTCCCGTTCCAAGCGCTCCAGACTCATCGCGCGCGCAGCTCGGCGCTCTGAAGCCTGCAGGGTTCTGTAAGTTTCATCGGAGAAGTATGGAGGGACTTTGAGGACTGCGTCATGGAACTTGCAGGAGGGCATGCGGCCTCCAAGTCTTCGGGAACCCATGGTGGATCCCACTGCGACCTGTGAGTGATCGGTGTACCAAGGATTTGGCGCTTACAATCTACAAAGTCTAGGCTTTAGGGTCAAACGTCTGCCGGGTAGCTGGCAAAAGGCCATCGCAGTAGCAATCAAGGGCCACAAACTTTTGCCACACCTCTTCCTGGCCCACGTTCACTATATGGTCGGTGGCGAGTCCATTTCAGCGGTGCCTGGCTGAGCAACTTCATGACCTGGACATTGAAGACAGGTTCAAATCGCACAAGCTACTTCCGGCCAGATCCCATGACCGAGCCCAAAACTGCCAGGATCAGTGCTGGGGCTTCACCGTGCGAGCTGGTGACCTCCTCTGAAATTAGGGAGTTCTGGGTGCAGCTAAGGCTTGGCCCAACTTGTGCAACAACACTCCTGGAGCACATCTAGATGGAGGAACTTGATCTGGGACGGAAGGCTTCCCGATCGTGCCATGGGCCTAGGCTGGAAGCTAGCCTCGACACTCTGCTTGGGGGCTCAGCTCATCTTTGCTGCATGCTAGCTTGCAAAGGCTCGGTTCTTTACCTGGCAGGTTTCAGGCACCTGGGCTCCACACACAGCGGAGCCCTGACTAGGAGAGGGGATCTGCTCGCCGGACGAGCATCCCTGCGCTCCCGCTTCTGCCTCACCAAGTGTCCAAGAGCAAGATTAACAAAACACTACCATCATTGTTTTTCCTGGAACGGGCAGAGTATCGCAGGCCTCTGCCTGCGTCTCGGTCTTTGGCTCGGCTTCCTCGGTTCAGGGGCCGTCACCCCAAGTCAGGGATGGCAAAGTAGCTTTTTGGCAGAAGAAAGCGAAAGGCCCTTGGCTTCTAAGGCTTTCTGGGTTGCAGGCATTTGCAAATACCGCTGCAACGGCAGGAGTTGCTCCAAGCACTGCCATCAATGCCTGCTTCCTGCAAAACATCGTCCAAGGGATCCTACCCGCGTTCAAACGAAGCAAGTTTTTGCGCTGACTTCACGTGAAGCTGCGCCCCTCCCAGTTTTTTAACATCTAGTCAGATTCAAATCGTGATGGATTTGCTTTGGCCCATACAGAAAAGCGCATCTTGACCCTGGACTTCTGGCTTAGCACCGCATGGTAGGATCTACAAGCTCATTCTGGCAGAGTGATGCTGAAATACTTGTGCTTGAGGGCTTGTTCTTGCAAATGTGACTCCTGTTAGCCTATAGTCCTCCCTAAGTAGATAGAATATGAAATTTACCACATTCATAGTACGATCCTCAAACACCGCATATTCTATCTCCTTAAGGTGACTGTACATCTGTACATCCATGGCAGCGGCTAGCCTCAGCAGCGATTCGCCAGAAAGCGCGGCTGCGCTGTCCTGACTGCGAGAAGAAGCTGTCCTATACACCAACACGCCCATGTTTTAGGCCTGAAATCCGGGAATAGACAGACCGAGAAGCAGCAACCCTGCTTTTGAGACAATCCCCGCATATGAGCTTCGCTCACAGCTCCTCCAGCGGCCTTGCCCTGCCAAGGCGGCACGCCCTTCATGGAAGACTCTCACGATTCTCCCCTCAGGCCAGGCCTGGACGCTTCGCTTGGCGTCAAACCTCTTCCAAGTACTTCTTGGTCTCTTTGTCAAGTGCAAGTGGGTTTGGGGCCTTCAGCGTCTGGCAGTGTAGGTCGCTTCTGCGAGGTGTTCAGGTGAATCAGCCTTCATTGCAGCTCAAGACTACCACTGGCGCGTCAGCTAAAACTCGGCCAACCTGCAGAGCGGCACTGTCGACTGTGGGCCTTTGCTTCATGGCTTCATGAAAGTAAAGCAAGCAGAATGCACTTCAGCTAAGATGTGGGCCATGCGGTGCCGTCTCTTGCAGTACCTCGCCCCCACCAAGCCTGATCCAACAAGAAGTTTTCACGCACTGCAGACAAGCCCGGTCCAGGGCCTCACCAGCTTTTCGACCACACCATAGCCAGCACTACCTGAAAGCACCTGGGCTGGGAAGATTCCTTGCTGAAGGCCCTTGCCTTGATCTTATTAAAGCCTGAAACCTGGTACCGAAAGCAATCACGAGTTTGGGACAATCTCGATTCCTGAAACAACAGCAACAAGTACGTACAATGTTTGACTTTATGGAAGCCGTGAGAATAAGCAACGACGCGCAATCTTCTAGCTCGCAGTCAACTGCCGAGGTCCATAGACACATCAGGAATCCATTTAAAGCCAAGTAGAACTTGTTGGATCTATGGCCTGAGGCCCCCCACATACGCAGGAATGACCGACGCAAACAAGATTACATGAGCTTTTCAGTTCCGAAACCCAAGACATCCCAAACCCTGATACACGTAGGTTCAGCCGATCATGCACACAAAATTTGACTGGGTGCCAACAGATCCTATATGCGAACTTCACCAAAGTTACGGGATCCGTATCAGGGGGCCCCCAACTTCTGCACCACTATCTACATGCCTGCTTGCAGAATGGACACTCGCAAACATGACTCAATTCCCTTTTGATCACCCCTTGTTCCGGAAAGCTCTACTTCGAGGCCCGCACGACAGCGAAGCAAGGCTGGCGACTTGCGTTCTCTGAGGTGATTCCAGCCTGCGGAACTTCGAGGATTCTGGGCTCCAGGAATCCTGCCCAAGAGGTGCTGTGTTACGACATCATGCTGTGCTGCCTCTCATATCTAAAGAGTACACGATACAAAACAAAGCTTCCAAGGGACAAAATGCCCCTTTGCAAGAGGATCATACAATTTCATGAGCAGTCAAGGTCCATCTTTAAGTGTTGCGGTCTGATCATTCTTATGGCGATATAACACTGAAGCAACAACGCGGCTTGAGGTGCTACCTTACCGTACCCTCTAAAAAACCTTCACACACACATACTCTCACCACCCTGGCGCCCACAATGCGAGCCCCGTCTTAAAGCTAATGTGCCCTCAAGCTGCCGACCCACCAAAGGGGTTGTTGCTCAAATCATGGCATTGAAGCTGCTGTGGGTGCAGTAATTTCATCAATCAGAGCCTGAGCCTGGGCTGTGCCATCCCCCATCCCGGCCTTTGTGGCATTCTGCCAGAGTTGCTGGATGACATCTTCCAGGGCTGCTGCCTGCAAATCCCACTGACCGGATCTTGGGAGCCTAAAGAGCTCAAAAGCTGATGTGTGCCCCGCCCAGCGCTGCACTGGGGTCGCCGAGTCGTGTAGCATGTTCTCGTTGAAGTCCATGCCCGTGACACCCTGACTCGAAGTCGCGAACCCCCTCGTCAGAAGCGAAAAAAGGCTGCCTGCTCCAGCCAGGGCGGCTGCCATCCGGACAGGACCTTTGCAAGAAACCATGGCAATTCTGAAGATAACATGAGAGCTGGACACTGAGCCCCGTTCCCCACCGCAGAGGTCGTCCACACCTGCACAGTTGCTGTGAGCGGGAAGTTAATCTTGGCCCTTGACACCATTGGAAGCTTCTCAACCCAAGATACAATAATTCCTCGCAGAAAAATCGAAAGTGGGTTGCGGCTTGACCAAGTTTACGCTTTAGGTCCAGGCCTGCCAAGTTCTCCTGCAGCTCCTGGCCCGCAGCTCAATGACATGTTTTGGTTCTAACGCTTTCGGCAGAAGGATTCCTAGTGCTAATTTGGTGGTTTGTTGGATTCCCTGCGTGCCGTCTCTAGGTGTTTTGGACGTCCCCCCCATGACAAGAGCAGGTAAGCACTGGTACTAGTAGTCCTTCCCGCTGCACATCATAACAATAAGTGCTGCCAGGAATTAAGACCCAAAATACCTGCATGGGTGAGGTTGCACTGACTGACAAGGGAAGGAACTCGGCGCACGCCGTGCCCTGCAGACCTCGTCCTCGAGTAGTTGGCGCGCTGCCTAAGTGCGGAGGAAGTCAAGCATGCCGCCGGTATCAACACTTCTTGCCTCTGAAACATCGTTGTCCAATTTATATCTCAGAATGGAAATGGAATTCAAATTCACCCGCTAACTACCTTCTGAAGACCCCCAAAATGGCTGATGATTTTGCAACCTCCCCAAGGGCCTGCCTGGAGAAGCTCCACAGCTTCATGTCGAGCCCATTCCTGCCACCACATTATGACCCACTCCTAGATAACCCCAATATAAGCCTACATGAGCTATAGTCTAAACTCCTAGTATCCCCCTTAATCTTCCCTGCAGTAGTCCCCCTACATATTTTCCTTTAAGGAGTTTAGACTATAAGCCTGTATAACATTGTGTCTGTGAGTAGACTCCACTCCTAACACCTGCCTCGCTCTCGCAGATCTCACCCTGTGCCGCTGTCGCCTGCCTGCCCAGGTCCAAGAATGTGAAAAGATAGCGATGTAGGGGTTTAGGGTTTAGGGTCTAGGGTTTAGGGATATACCTGCCCCAAGTAGTGTGGAGTCCTGCATAGGTGGATCACATCAAGTTTGGAGGTTCAGCGCTCATGTCGGCAACCAAATGGTTTTTGCTGGGACCTTGTGCGTCCCGGCACCCATTTTATGACAGCTGTTCAGGGTCTCATCTGAGTTGCTATCGTGCTTCTTATCATGATGTTTGCGATTGCTATATCTTTTCTTAGGATTTGTCCATACCGCAGCGTCGGGACTCCACTTGTTTGGGAAGCCCAGTCTTGCGAAACTCCCGGAAAGCGTTCGGAGTTAACTAAACAGTGAGCAAGCAAAGACCTAGCTTGAAATTTGAAAAGTCTCAAACTTCATCCGGCGGCACAATCACGCCTTGCTGCCCAAAGAGTCTTACAATAAGCTGTAATGTTGAGGACCCACATCCAAACCGCGCCAGTTGTCTGCACCGCGCGTCATCTCAGCGGGCGCTGGCTATGCCTCCTCAGACATTTGCAGTTGTTTTCCTGGTTGTTGAGCTAGGTAGGACTTAATTTTGTTTGTCAACAACACGATAACAACATGGCAGCTGCGATCTGACTGTATATTGGGGACTGTACGGTAGCATTTCCACTCACTCGGCTTGGAAGCGTGAAGCAATTCAATTGACGGTGCCTTGTGCGCTGTGTCTGTACTCTGCTCATTTGGTATGACGCTTACTGTTCAATGTATAGGAGCGTCAAGGCCCTAGCTGAAACCCTGCCCCCCCCAAGCATGAAGCAACTGCCCCCCTTCGCCTGCCTCTCTCAGGTCCAGCGTAACATGTCTGAGTTTGGATGAAGCTTCCCTTTTCACGCAAAGTTAACGGAGCATGGCCGGCCAAAACGCTTCTGCTGGAAGTGTCGGGAAATTCTCGCTGCTCCTGCTTCTCGCCTGTTTGAGCCCCACACCGCAGGCCCGCCTTCTCCTTTACATCTGGCTTGATATCAAGAATTTGTGAGGCTGACTGGGAACTCGAATCTCAACAAAAAACAAAGTACTGCAATTAAAAGGGATAGCATACCAGCAACAAAAACGAAACATAAGACGAACGGAACAGTACCTAGCTTCACTCAAGCCCGAGGAGCATCTTGCGCAGGAACCATCTGGCTCCCATGCTTCTCAAGGATGCTGAAGAAACGATTGTGCTGTTGGGATATTGTGTGCTTTTGGCAGGCTGCCACCAGTTGAGTGAGCTTGCGCCTTGCTGCTCAAACCTGTCTAATAGTCAGCTTCTTGAGATTGAGGCCCTAAGCTGTAGAATGCCGGGCTGCTTTATAGGAAGCACCCCGCGTGGCGTGAGAGCTCTAAGCTTCGTTCCTAAACCTTGGCTTCCATGGCAATTAGGATACGGAGGCCTTGCAGGAACTTTCTGTATCAACTGCATGGAAATGCTGCTTTGACTGAACTTGGCCTGGTGCATGTCACATGTACCCGTGAGCACACCTCCCTGGGCCAAAGCTGCGCAGGAGAGCCACCGCTGAGTCTCCTTTTGATGAGTCGCAAAATCATCAACATCGACTCTATGACATGGCCGGCTTCATGCTTCGCAATGCTTGGCAGCCTGAATCTACCTTGATGTCGACAGTGCAAGTCTACTCCTTTTTCGTCGTTGGCGACGAGCACTGGAGTTTAGAAACCACCTCAATCCAGACGTGGTGGTGAAACCATAAGCTGTCTGCCTGTGCTGACATGATGCCCTGCTCTTGATTCAGAACCACAAAAAAATCAATGTGAAGTATGCCCTCTTTAATACCAAGACAGAAGGGAGGCATCATGCCAAGCACGCTGCACTCGCCTGAAACATCCCGAAATGGAAATCTCACTTTCTCCTCCCCCTTGATCTAGATCGGGAGCGCTTCTTCTCGCGGTCCTTGGCGACAAAGAAGCAATGTAGAAGCGGCGCTTAGACACCCAAAGTGGAATGCACGCAGAACGCAGAACTCATACCGAGGTCGCTTCTCGCTCCCTATCTCTTCCTCTATCTCGGTCCCGCTCCTTGGGACGCTCTTTCTCCTTCTCCTGCCCGGAGGTAACGTCCAATGCAAGAGCGTAGGCCTATCCCTGCAGGTCCTCGCGCTCAGCGCCATAGCTGCCTGTGGCTCGGGCTTGCAGGAGCAAACTCTTCTTCGCATCATTCGGCTCAACAGGTATGCAGCTTATTGCAGCTTTCCCAAGCAAAGAGGGACCCTTCACGTTTCAAACTCGCGAGCGGCAGGAGCCCCACACCAAGGCCTGGCAAACCCAAAGACTTGGGCGCCGCCGGCAGCTTCCCGGTTGTGTCCAGGCCCTCAGGCACCGCCGTCACTAGAGTGTGTGAGGTCAAAGAAAACATGCGCCCCACTATGCCCCACTACATCCCTCAAACATAAATGCATGTATCCAATCAATCGCCTGCCTGGAGAAGTGTCATGAGCAACCCAGAAGGTCTTTCGGCGCTCGCCAGGCGAACGTCGATGGCCTTCAGGTCCTTCGCCCGCCGAGATCATCAGCATCACTGTTCTCAGACGCTGGCTGTCACAACTACTACTTGCAAGACTTGCTTGCTAGTCTCCCAAGAACTCATGCATCTGATGTCCTCCTGCATGGTCTTTTTCCTCTTCCTCATGCTCTCCACCAACCGCTGCGTTGCCCGATCCTGTGGCGCAGCTAGACTATCCGCTGGGATTCCGGCACTACTCCTAAACAGAGAATGCTGTAGAAGAATTTCGCTTTTCAATAGACGGCGTCTGAGGGCCCTACGTCCAGCTTGTACTTGTTAACTACAGCCATCATGTCCTGGGTACAGGAGAAACAACACAATGCCAAAGCAAACTTACTTCATGCAGGCATCCTCTACGGTGAACAGACCAGCTCACTTCACAAAACTGCCGTCGTTGAACAGCAATGGATGAACGAAGCCACTGAAAGGAAGCGAGATGCCAAACTTAGCCAGTGGCTGGATGGATGTTGCCCCGCGTGACGAAGGTGCCGCGGTCTAGCTGGGTTATCAGGACGCCAATATCCGGGCGCTCCTGTCGGGCAGGTGGTAGGATAGTAAAAGCAATGACGATTAAGAAAATACAAATGGCCATGAGGATGGCTAAAGAATCATGATAGGAATAATAGACATAGCAGGAATAGGAATAAAAAGAAGGATGCAAAGGGAGATTGCCACCTACCCAGCATTGTCTTGTGACTTTCATACTGCTCATGACAAGGTGGCTACTTTGTCTGGCTACTTTGTCGCCTCGCAGTGCTCACAGTCACGTGTAAATGTTCCTGATTGCTATTCTACAGAACGCGCTTTCTCACCCGAGCGGACGAATGGCTGTTCTCCTACTTTTCTCAAGCCCTCAAGTGGCCAATGTCTGAATAAACCAAGATGTCTGTGCATCCAAACCCACAACCCTAAACCCAAGCACGCCGAACAAGGCCAACTCTCAAAGGCCGAGACCCACAAGCTCACAGGCGCCTTGGAAAGCCTGGACCGCACAGTGTTCAGGTCTTCCTCGAAGGTATCCGGTCGCCGCATCCTCGGTGGAGAGCTGTGGAGCCAACTTTCAAAGGTCAGAAATGTCACAAGAATATTTGGCGAAGCCACCCGCTAACTGCTAACCGCTAACCTCAATCTGTTTGGAAACCGCTTTCTTTTGAGAGAATCCTCATGCGGGGGATCCTGATGAGGACCTGGAGAATCGACCAACAATCCGAATGAACAGAAGCGCACTCAGACACAATTGCAATCAGCAACGCCATAATCAGAACAACGGCTACCATGACATGGTGATGCTGGCAGTGAAGATGCTGATGATGATGATGACGACGACAACGACGACGTTGTTGTTGTTGTTGATGATGATGATGATGATGATGACGATGAAGACAACGTTGTTGTTGTTGTTGATGATGATGATTATGACGATCTCTTTCAGGAATGCTGTAGTCAGCGTGGTGTGAAACCATCAGCATGGGCTGCAGTACTGACAATTGTTTCCTACAACCAGAAGTCGGGCTTTTAGAGAGGTGTTGCTCACAGCAGGAGCATTGCAAGCTGCAAAAGCCTCGAAGAAGCTGAGCCTGTCACATCACGTCATTGAGCTTTCTCATAAGCCGGTCCTTCCAAAATCTTGTGGGGCTGCAAACAGTGGAGCTGGCAAACAAGATCTCATTATGTCCCAGCCTCAATGCCATACTCACGGCAAAGCTCCCGGACTCGACCGTCTATGGGCCTACAGGAACAAGACAGCTGGAGCTGGTAGCCCGAAGCGTCTGCAAAAGGGACCCAGCGTTTCCACTTTGCTTGACTCCTCCGCCTTTTTCTCCTCTGCAGCTGCCATGCCTGCTAAGACTGCCAAGGGCGTCCGAGCAAACTTTGTTGTGAGAGCAGCCTCTCCCTGCCTGCGCCACCAACACCGCCCATCATCATAGCCATCATGGGGTTGGGCATCATCATCGATGCCATCATCAGTGGGTTCGCACCTGCCACACAAGCTCAATTGGAGTGCTAGAGGATCTCTTTTTCTGGGCCTGGCATCATCCCGGGCATCATGCCTGCAAAGTTCAAGTTCGAGCTCTTGGTTTCGTGCTTCCTGTGACTTCCTGACACATGTGAGTGCTGTGAGTGTGGCACCTGGCATCGCCATCCCTGGCAACAACCCAGGCATCATCATGCCTACAGAAAACATCCAAATCATCAGCCAACTCATGCACAGCACACGCGCTTCTAGGCACTCGGCCAGGCATCATCGGAGGCATGGTCCCAGGCGCCCCCGGCACTGCACCGGGCACCGCACCGGGCGTTGTGCCAGGTGGCGCTGAGGGGACACTGGGCTCGGCCTGTCAGTGACGGAAGCAGGAAACGAGTAGTTCCGCTTCATCCCTCTGAGCGCAGCACTTGGGCATCTGCCCCGGGCCAAACAAAGTCGTCGGCTCCCGCCATGGCTTCAACCAGCCCCTTCCCAAAAGGGAGATCTCTTTGCGCAGCTGCGGTGTCTCAGATCAACCCCAATCTCAGGCCTCTCCTCCGCCCTTCCAGGGCAGACCTGCGCAGTCTGGAAGCCAGTCTGGAAGCCAGGTGACAATTTGATACTGCTTTGGGCAATCTGCCTTGGAAAGAGCCGCGTCAGGAGATGCATTGGGCTTTCTTGATCCAGCATGGCTACATGGTACACATGAAGCACTTTGTGACCTTTACCCGTTGCCTCCACCGGCCTTGCCTTTTTTACCAGCTTTTTCTGCCGCGGTGAAACATGCATTACATAAGGATCCGGTACTTCTCCTCATCCGGAACCCGATTGACAACCTGATGCTTTGTAGCGCAGTCGGAAACGCCTCTGCGGCTGTGCGAATGCAAGTTTCCACGCTGAGAACACAACCAGCTTCCCGTCGAAGGACACAGAGGCGAAGACCCAGGCATCTGAAGAGCTCCAGCAGCAACTGTAGCATGAGTCCTACAAATTAAGGTTGGGTTGTCTAGAACGACTTGCAAAATTCTGCCCGTTCAATCCCACATCGCTCCTCATGCTCCTCGTACTTCCTCACCAGTCCATCGGATGTCCGTGCGGCCTCCTGGAAGTACAGCTAAGCCCATCAAGAAAAGCTACACAAGCCGTTACACGCTCCTGACCGTTCAAATCTCTCAACTGTTTCATGCTCATCAAAAGCATTCACAATGCGTTGGCTGCTGTCTTGAAACGGCGAGAATCATCATAAGCAGAACTAGGACTACGGCAGACACAGAAATCCTGCCCAAAGCCCGTGGCCTCCCCACGCTTGCCTCCCAATGGTGCGGAAGCCACCTGATTACTACAAAACAGTACGGTTATTATCTGAATGATGATGAGGTGGTGGAGGCTGTGGTGCAGGTGCTGCGACCGTGCTAGATGGGGCGGTGGATTGATATGGTGATCCACCATCACATGCCCCAAAAAATATGGGGTCAACACCTAGGAAGATCCTGATGAAAAACGGATCCCTCGTGTGGACAATGAAGGGAGGACTGACCTGAACAGTTGAGTTGTTGGAGAAGTGTCCGTTGACCCTTTAACTTCGTGCTGAACTCTGAAGCCTACAGCCTCTGACTAGAATCGTTGCATCCAATTCGCGACATATGCATGAGCCAAGACATACCTTGAAGCACAAACTGGAGCCCATTGCCATTGCAGAATTCTATGCAAACCGGCTCACAAGTTCTTCAGCAGAGAAGATGTTGACGAAGCCCAAAAGAATAAGCTAGGACCTAAGAACCTGACAAGGGTGCCAACAGCTTGAATTTGGAATTGCTTGCAGCACCCCTCCAAGTAGCCGGACGAACTGTCTCAAAGTCTCAAACCATGAAGTCCTAAGCCGATGACCCGAGGACGCTCAAAAATCCCTTGAGCGTACAGCCTCATCCAAAGCTTTCCCAGTGCCCCCAAGCATGAACTTGAGGCTCGTGCAGAGGTCGCTCGCCAGAGGCAGACCATCGAGTCGGTGCCACAGGAGAGAACCAACCTGGCTCTAAAACATGAGGCTGGCTTTGGGCTTCGGTCTTTGGGGAGGATCAGAGATGCAAGCTGCGAGGAGAGAGGAGGCAACCTCCTTGTATCATATAATTTACACTCACAACATCGTACCAACATAGGAGAATGGGAAACCTGGTCATCAGGGGGATGCACATCGAGCTCCGGAGTGCGCCCCTCAAGGCTGACAATGTGCTTTCCAGAGTGAGAATCCCATGGTACGCCAAAAACATATTCTGGAGGTGGAATGCTATTGCGGACCCAGTATTATGAGCGGCTCAGCAGGGTCCAGGACGTTGTATGACTTTTTCTGCTGGTTTCTGTGCTAATGGTCTCGCGCCTGTCCAACTGAATATGATCCTGGAGGCTATTGGCCTGGCCCCGATGCTCATAACGGTCGGCCTTGTGGCAGTCGAACGCCTTTGTTTGGAGTCTCATTACGCTAGAATACTGCTTTTTCAGGAAGTCTATTAGAATTGCTGGGTGCTTTTCTCATGATATCTTTCGTGTTTTTGTGACTCTCGAAGACTCGCGGTGAAAGACAAGTTCGCCAGGCATACTGGTCGTGATGAGCGTTGAAGCGCGCCTTCACCACCTAAGTGCGGGTTGCAGAGTTTAGGGTCTTATCTGGCAGTCCTGATCTGATGCCAATGAGTCACCCTGCATGTGGAAGATCCGCCAGATTGGGGTCCCCATCTACATACCAAAACAGGTTCATCTCGTCAAGCAGCTCAAAACGAGCAACCTAACAGATGCCGCTATAGTGGCTGCTTAAACTACAGACCAAAGCCTCAGGCCCAGTGATGGTGGCCACCAGACAAGCTGCGCAAGCATGTCGACAACTGCCTGCAAGTGATGGAGGGCATGCGAGGGGTTTGTAGGTGGTATACAGGGCTTAGAAAAGAGACCATCTATTGGGATTATATAGCCGAGGCAATGTATGAGGATGTTGGGGTGATGAGGAATACTTTTTCTAGATTTGCATGAATTTCTGCAAGCCTGATTTTTCTTCTGCTCTTGATAGTACTACAATTTTTGTGTTCTTATTAGGACGTCGATGATTATTACAACTATGGCAATTGTCTGACAATTTTCTATAGGCGGGCACCTCGAAATTATTGCGGATACATAGTTCAGAACTTCTTGATTGATGTAGGGACTAGGCTACTAGGAGGGCATTACGCGCTTTTGATTCCCTCCTTTAGATTCGCTTGGCAAGTCGTTTGGCCACCCTCTATCTGGAACATGCTGCCCTTTTCACGTATTACCTCGTTTTCGGGTCTGGGTGGATTCTCCACATGCCGCCAGTCTTGGTTTGTCGCCTGGCTTGTCAAGACTTTTTGGTTGCCCGCGAGTCAAACTTTCCTGGGCTGGTTTCACAACCCAAGTCATTGAAGGCAGCAGCCAAACAAATTTGATTCAGAAAGCTAGAAACGAGCGCTGTGACCCTAAAGGCCGTTACGTGCAGACAGCAGACAACGCTGAACATGCTAGCAATCTTGGCCTCTGCGCATTTCAATGCAATGTTGCCATTCCACGTCCACTCCAACCATCTTCCCACCAAGCCCGCGCATGCTGACGATCGCAGCGAGATCGATATGAACAAGCGTAAAACCAGTGGGGCAGGGAGGACGTGTCTATGCATGAAGTCTATGCATTTGCAGACACAGTTGTTTAGTTTTATGTTCATGGTTGAAGATCTAAGATCTAAGGTTGCGAGCAGTCAACGTGATGTTTAGGGGTCCATATCAGTTGTTTCCAGGCATGGAAGCTTCCCTGTTGTTCATGTGGAGCAGCCACGCAGTCTATGAGTTCATTCTTTATTTGGGTCTTGTGTCTGGACACTTTCGGGCCTCCCATCAGTTGGGTTAAGCGAGGTTCAGGATCGATTTTGGGGCACAGGCTCAACGCCGCCCGGCTCGAAGCGAGGCGCTGAGCAAGTAGGTGGTGGACGTCATCTCTAGCACTCCTAATTATCACATATTCCCAATTCAGTTTATGCAGAAGGCCCCCAATTGCAAAACCCCTGTTCAACGTAGCACAAAAGAACCTGGAATCTTGAGCAACCACCTAAAAGATACTTTGCGACCTCACTTAGAAAGTCGGCTGCCTCCTGCTACTGTCCCTCCCGCCTGAGGTCCCAGAAACGAAGACAGGCATCCTGCTTGCTGCAAAGAATGAAGAAAGATTCTGATAAGTAGAACCAGAATTGGGACTGGAAGTAAATCTAGGAGGAGGTTGAGAAAGAGAAGGAGCAGCCGCAGCAACAATCATAATCGAAGATCATAATCGGAAACAGCCGTGCAACTGCGCAGGCAAGCACCTCTCCAGTGGTGAGGACCTGATATGGCACCTCGTGGCAGAGGGCTCCATGATCAACACCACCATCAGCATCAGTACTAGCCTTGTTATTATGCTATCAATATCGTTATGAATAGTTGTATGGTTGTTACTGTCAAATCTTACCGTTATTTAGCACTATTCTTATGTACGTATTCTGATTGGTGTTAGTTTTACGGCCTTTTGCTGTTGTGATCTGTCACTGCCAATGTTTCCGCACAGTGATACTACGAGAAAAAAAAAGGTGACGTTGCAGGGTATGATCGCTACGCCCGCTACCATGACTCGATTGTCTCACGGCAGTCTTACTGCCGCTGTTTGTGCTTCCTTTTAAGATGCCGGCGTTGGGGTTGTAGTCCACATCTTTGGCGCCAAACAGGTGTGCACCATCCTGGCTTGGGTTCATTCGGAAGACATTACGGTAGGTCCTTATGATATGCTGGAAACTCCAAGCGCAGGGACCCACAATTTTGAGGAACACCCACTTGCAAGGCCTTTCGAAAAGCCAGTCTGCTGGATCGCAGGTCCCAAGTCTTCAGATGTCCATCATCCACCTAAGAGTTTCTGCCACAAATGGTTCAGTCTTATTCAGGGGGATATGACGTCTTTTGGGTTTGGCCAGAACCTGTGTATGCGAAAAATCATGTCTGGAACAATTTGGTGGCGGCGCTCAAGCAAATGCCACCTGGGGCCCTGCATCTCCAGTGACACTGCCACTGATGAGAATATTTTTGTGGGGAACCTGGCACTATGACAATGAAAGCTCACAATGAACCAGCAGTTCAGAATAGACTTCTACTGGAGAACTTCATCCCAGAACCCATAATCCTATCATCCTGCGCAACACTTCTGAGGCATCTTCAGTACTCAGCTGCTGCCGATGGTGTGGGTCCAGGCAGGCGCCCATGCACCTGTCAAGATTTGTGGGTTGTGAGTTTTGGCTGCGGATGGCTTAGGGCGTGCATTCATCATCTGAAGGAGAAGAAGAACACCCCTCATGTTTCGGGCGCAAATGCGGGTAGGTGGATGTGACTCAGCAGGCCAGGATCTATTCAAGTTCATCTAAGCCAAATCTTAAACGCAATCTACGGAGAGGAGGGCAAAACAGCTCAAGCACCAAAAGGGAAAATGGGCCAGTTCTGCCCTCACAGCCTCACATTGTCGGACTTTGCACCCATGCCTAGACCCGAAACCCTTTTCTTGCTGTTTAATCAGTTTAATCCCAAAACCCTTCAATGTGCCTCTGCCCCACCGCCACTGTGACTTGGCGCGTGAGCTTCCCCCCGCCCACATTGAAAGTATGGACTGCCTCCGCGCAAGGTGCGTTTGCTTACTAGCTCTTAGTAGGAACTATATAATCCGCATGTAATATGGCCCCTTGTTCCCAACTAGGAACCAGCAAGTTTGGGGACATCTTGCGGGTCTGGAGCATACTGCTTGAACTAGCAACTACGGCTCAGGCTATAAGAATTCTCAGAGGCACATATACTCCAAGGTCACAGGGTATCATTATCATAGGGCTAAAAATCATGAAAGGCAACTAGACGGCGACCCTGCGCTGTTTGGAGTCTAAATCTTGCTCACGAACAGTGGGAGTCCTGGAGCAAGCACTTGATGGCGCTCTACATGGAAATTGTTGTGGCTATGAAGCCTCCCGTCAAATGCTGGTGTCCAAAAATTCCAACGCCATCGGGGCCGCGTTCTTCACATTGCTTTTCTCATGCATGTCTTGCTTTTGCATGCGATTCCAGACACATTCCGAGTCTTCTACTGCCAAAAGCAAATGACATGCTCAGTGATTTGTTTTAAAAGCTTGTGATTTGGGCAAGCCTATCTACGTTCTCATAGTGACTACAAGCTGGTACACCTTCAACTACTCACAGGCTGGCGTAGCTTTTGCCATGCTTGTTCATCATGGCCTCAAGCCTTTGTTTACCTCGTGCTGGGATACTCCAGTCCACGGCCCTTTTGAGCTTATACTCTCGGATGGTTACATGAATCAATAGAGTTCTTGGTCCAGTGGTAGCGGAAGTACTCAGACACTGTTCTGCTTGTTGACTTCTTCCTGTGCGTGC